CGTAGCGGTTTAATGGAAAATAAGGCTAAAAAACAGACTATATATTTAATAAATGGTATTGATTGAGTGATGGATTGGGGACAGATTTTGGAAGGCCATGAAAGTCAAATTAAGGTGTTTGATTTGATACCAGAGGGATCTGTAAAGAATTTTGAGCAACAGAGTGACTTGATAAAGGTAATATTTTAGGAAAATCAATGTGATGGTTTTTAGCATGGATCAGAAGTGAATAAAATTGGAGCAGGGGAGGTAATATAATCTAGATATAATGACTTCTTTAGCGGTCAAAGTAACAATGCAGAGGAAAGGGAGGATATAAAAGAAATTGAAAAGAAAAAAATTGAGTTTGGTAACTGATTGGATATGTTGGGCAAAGGAAGAGAAAGAGAAAAATCACTTCTATAATTCAAGTCTCAGAAGAACTGGAACAGCTATAGTTTTGTTAACCAAATAGGGAAGTCAAGACAAAGAGGTAATTTGGAAATTTTAGATGCATATTCGGTTTGAGGTAACAGCAAGATGTCTAATTAGAAATGTCCCATTTAGCAAATGAGTCCTGGTAATCAGGTGAGAGGCCAGGACTAGTTATTTTTATTAGTACGTAGTAGAGTTCTTTTTTACATTTGTTCATAGTATTAGGTAATTGACTAATTTTGTGCTTTATTTTGAAAAGATGCTACAAAGAACACAGAAAAATGTTGGTTGTCCCTCATGCTTTAGTTTTTGGTTGGGAAGATACCCTGTGGTATTACAGAATATTAGTTTTAAGGAAATAGATGATGGCAAAGTATCCGTTTTATCTTATCAATTGTATTTTCCTAAGGAATCAGTTTTTGTATATCGTTTTCTTACTGAAATCTAAACCCAATTATGATAAACCTAAGGTGTCTTTTTGTATAAGAAAAGACTTTTAAAGAGTAGTTATTTTCTCAGTTCAGTTTTCTATCATTCCTTCATGGTGTATTTTTTTCTTAATAAAATTGCAATTTCATTTGAAAACTTTTAGATATTTTCCCCATAAAAGCCAGAATAGCAGGAAAGCACCATTTCTTTGTGAGATTCGTTAATATAAAACAATTTGAAGAAGAAAAAAAACAGCAATTTCCCCTGATCCGAAATGGTCTTATTTTAATAAGAAAATTATTTAAACTATTCCAAATTTCAGTTTTTCTTTTTTCGGAATGTCCTAATCCATAGTCTTTAGATGAGTAGTTTCTTACAGGTTATACAGTTTAATCCTCTGACCTTAGATTGTCAATTATGTGCTTATGCTTTATCTTGCCTTTAAATCTGTTTTTTTCCACTTTCATTTGCTTCTTTGAAAATTATCCAACATTTTATTTAGGCTTCATAAGCAAAAGCTGTTTTTACTCGATTGTTTTTGTTTCCCTTGTCTGTCAAAATCAACAGTTTGCACTGAAATTCTGTCTGCAACCTCCATCTTGGGGGGGGTCATCTTTATTTTAATTTTTAAAAATTTGGATCACTATACTCTTCATTAAAGCTACTTCTTTGCATTATCTTCAGAATTTTTCCTTTAATTTGAATTTCTACTAAAAATTAACAGCCTATATTTACCAACATACCTATTATTTTGCAACATCCCTTTTTTCATCTATCTAAAAATTACATTCTCCATCATTTTGTCACTGTGTTTATTCCTTTTCTTTCATCTGGATAATTCTTACTTTTAAAGGATTCTGTTATATTGCTACTTCTCTTTGAGATTTATTCATATCTTTGTTTAACTGAATTCTCTTTCTCAGCTTTTTATCATGGAAGAGGTGGGGAAGAGAGTATTTTTTTGCATGTGATCCTTATTCATATATTTGTAAAATAACACAAAAGTATTTTAAACTTTTAGAGGGTGGAAGTAGATAAACAACTATAATTTGCTTTGAGAAATAGTTACATAGCATAATATAATTTTCTGCCTTTCTGCTTTGTAACTATTCTATAATAATAAACTTGTGCCACTAGAATAATTTGTAAATTTTTCAATACTTCTTTTTTGAGAGCTCACTCTACCTATTGTATAAATGATTCAGCTGTATGTTGAGTAAATATACTTTAATGTAACAATGATTTTTTAATCAATTTATGTTATGTAAAGTAATTAAATTAATCTTATGACTTGTGGGAGTCATATATTACTCTGTATTTTTGTAGTAAGTTTACTTTCATAATATTTTGATCATGGAAGGTTATGGTAACTATAAAGAAAACTTCCTTTTTAAAAAAAAAATATATATCTTCATTTGACTGATTTTTAAAATGGTAGCATCAATGAAAGAGCCAAAGTGGCTATATGTAGTTAACCTTACAGTGAAGGAAACATCTTATTATGTGGTAGTAAATAAATTTAAATCAACTCTCTGTGGTACATCATCTATATGCTTCACAGAGAAATTGATGAAAACTGCCTCCTAATTACATAGATATTAAATGTAACTTTGGTAATTACATAAAATCTCAAGCAGATCCTTAGAAGCATTTTCAAGTAATGCTTATTCCATCCACTTAAACTTGACTTTCCCTTCAGTCCTCCCTCACTCGCCCACTCCCTCCCACCCTCTCCCCCCAAAAAAGAACTTAATTTTTGTTGTCCTTTCTTATCGTAAGAAGGCCACTTTTGTGTTTAGGCATAAAAACACTGAGACCTAGAATGAACCACATTAGAATGTTTTGGCATTGATCCCAAGACCAGGAATAAGTTCTTTTTTGCCATAGTCTTTCAAAATTCTGTCACATTCAACTTCCATTAAACTTCAAGAAATTTTTAGTTAGTTGTATGTTTCATTAGCATTGACACTTTATTTAAACAATATTGAAAAGACCATTCTATAAGTATATTATGATACATTTATACCACTCTACTGGGAGTGGTACTTAATGAATGTTTTCTGTCTTTCCATGTGCATTGCTGAGTTTTTAGTTCTTTTTATTAGATGTTTTCCCCCTCAATAATTGTTCTTAAACATTTTGACATTAAAATACCATTTTCATATTTGATACAGCATTTCTTTTTTCTAACCTCTGATAATTTAGACCAAAAGAATCATAAATTTTCTAAGATCTACTAACAATTAAAAAGCTATGAAAACATTGATGTGAATTGACTTCATTAATTTTTTAAAATTTCTGTGATCTGCTAGCAAGGGTGGTGATGAGACTGAGAATGGACTAAGACAAATAATGTTGGATGGTAACATGACTGAGGCATTCTCAGTTCATTGATTTTTTTTTTCCAATTTATAGAGTTATAGAATGGGCTTCTACTTTTTACAAAACGTTTGTCCATGTTGGCAAACGTGTTTACCTTTAACAGTTCACAGTTAATAATTTTTTATTAGACTTGAAATTTCAGCCATATAAATAAGGCTTTCAAAATCCTCACTTCTCTTTGTAGTCTTTACTGTCTGGAAAAATTATATATCCTTAGTAATCTTTTATGTTTGTTTGAATTAATAATCTTTAAAAACTTTAACATGAACTTTGCAATTTACCTGGGACATTTCTTGAAAGATGTGAATTTATCTAGCCTATATTCCTTCATCTTCCTGCTTTCAGCATAATCAGAATCTTCTTTAGCTTGTGCCATTTTCTTATGGTAAATCTTGTTGTAAGATAAGATAGACTTCAGGAAGATGTCAAAGATTTCTTTGAAATATATTTGCATCTTAGAGGAAATCTCAATACTTTGTTTTGTTCTCATCATAACCACTTTTTTAAAGCCACTCATACATGCACGTTGTATTTAAACCAGTAAAGAATAGCTTTCCTTTTCTTTTCTTTTTTTTCATTACCTATTTGATTTCCTTAGCTGGAAACCTTTCTTGTAGAGCCGTAGATCTAAATGTGAGACAGTTTTCTTGAAAAATCAGACTTCTTGTTCTTTACAGTTATAGTCACATAATACATTAAAGTCTTTCTTTATTCCTACACTGAGGCTATTTGCAATCTAGACAACATTTGTTATTCTAAAAATATGACTATTACAAGTTTTGAGTTTCCCAAGATCTCAATAGGATACTGTTATTAAAAATCTATTTGTTCTGGATCAGTGGATACCGGAACAAAAAGAAGGTAATTCTTACCTGATAATGTGTTTGTGTTCCGATTCTGCTAATCCAGAAATCTCTATACCCCACTCCCCCCGCCCCCAATTTGTTGGAAATCATCCTTAGTTGATGCTGGTTAGGGAGTGACCTCTCTGTTTTAGTTGTTTTCTGCAGTTCAGCCCTCGATATGCCAGAGAAAGGGTAGAATTTTTACCTTTTTCAGAACACTGCTAAAGAAGTTTTCGACGGGGAATGTAGTCTGAAGAAGCACTGAGAGCAAAAAAATTCAGAGTGGTGATTGGCCACCTCTGTTTGATTGACAGGTTGCAGGGAGAAACCCATTCCTTCTGGATTAATGGAACTGGAAAACAGAAAACAATTATCAGGTAAACATCTTTTTTTTTTAACCTTTGAAATTCACCTTTTAAAAGATATCAGAACACTCAGTGAATTTTATTACCAAAACATTGTGAGTAAATTTTTTTACAAGTGTGAACCACAGTGTCTGGTGAACATTGACTTCTCTCTACTTCCTAGAATTGTCCAAATCACTACAGTTGCTAGAAGTTTTCAGCCTTGGCAGAAAAGCCAGTGATTAAAAGGAGACAGATTAAATCCCAGAAGCAGTATTTTCAGATCTGTGTTAAAGGTGATCAGTAGAATTCTGTAGGGGGGAGGGAGAGTGTTCTTTGATTTACTGAATTGTTCCAATTCTATGGCTAAATAGAATTCTTTGTTTTCCAGGGCTATCAATCTAGCATTTCTCATGAATATTTATGTATTTTTAAATGTATTGTTTAATAGCGAAGTTACTTGTTTGATTATCAGTTCATTTAGTATGTACATTTATAAATCTTTATCATAAAATTTTAATCATAAAATAGTAAACAGTTTGTTTATTAAAGAACATTTATTGATTCTCGGATGAATATATTTCAGATTGAAGGCCAAGGACATGGAGCAGTATTTGACTGCAAATGCTCTCCTGATGGTCAGCATTTTGCATGTACAGACTCACATGGGCATCTTTTAATTTTTGGCTTTGGCTCCAGTAGCAAGTATGACAAGGTATAGTATAATGTATAATGAACAAAATACATTTTTTCTTTCAGGTACTCTGTGAATATTTAGAAGTGTAAATATTTTGTAGGCAAATTCAAATGTATAGAAATGTGACACAACTTAGAGCATTTATTTTAAATAGTCATGAGTGTTGTTTTTGTTTTTCTTTTAGTTGAAGCTTAATTTCTGGCAAAAGATGCTAAGCAATGTCATTATGTTGAAATTTAGTAGAGCCTCCAGTCATCGAACTCTTACTAACTGTGTGACTAACCCTGGGCAAGTCACTTAAACTCTTTCAATCTTTTTTGTCATCTGTAAAATGGGGATAATATTTTATTGTTGTTCAGTTGTGTCCTGATTCTTCGTGACCCCATTTGGGATTTTCTTGGCAAAGATACTGGACTGGTTTACCAATTCCTTCTCCAGCTCATTTTACAGATGAGAAAACTAAAGCAAATAGACTTATGTGATTTGCCCAGGGTCATACAGCTGTTAAGTGTCTAAGCCAGATTTGAACTCAGGAGGATGAGTCTTCCTGCTGCCAGGCCTGGCATTCTATCCACTTTGCCACCTAGCTGCCTGAGGGACTGTTGTGAATATCAAATAAAATAATGTATATATAGTACTTTGCAAACCTTAAAATGTTTTATAAATGTAAACTTTTTATTACTACTGTTTAGAAATTTGAGAAACTTAAAAAAAGGTAACTTAGATTGTTTTCCTTGAAATGTTAGTGATTACATATTAATTCTTAGAGTTTTTAACTACTTTTCATATTTGAGAGTAAATGCTGCAAATCTTTATTTTTCCCAGGGGTACTTAATCACTTTCTCCATTTAGTCAGTTAAGTTTAACAAATCAATGAACATTTATTACATTGTCTTTCTATTTATAAATAAAGTTCTGGTTATGACATTGGTCTTGCTCTCAATCACATGGAGCAATGAAGTAGTACATTTAAAAAAGAAACTAAGGTATTAGAAAAAGCTTTGCAGGGGAAAAAATGTCAAGAAATGGAAGTACTATCTGAATTGGGCCGTGAAAGAAAGGAACATATTTAACCTTTAACAGAACTTAAGTCTGATCAGAGTCATAAAGATGGGAGGAATGGAACATGTGGAATAGTCTAGTTTGGCAGATAGTGAGGAAATATTTAAGTTTTTGGAATAAAGGAATGATGTCTTCATGTTTTACATTTGGAATATTTATTCAGGAATCAGTGTGGAAGGTGGGTTGAAGGAAGGGAGAGATAAGAGTCAAGAAGACCAGTTAGGAGACCATCTAGGCAAGAAGACATCCTCATATATATTAATCATACCATTGTTATTATCTAGCTGTCTTTATAATTGTTTAGAGTATGCTCCTTGATTGATTGGTCAAAATTATTTGTTATTGTTAAATTAGTATATTTGCACATTAGAGGAAAACTGTATGGTCTTAATACATTCAAAGTTAAATAGCATTTCTTGGAGTCATGGCAATGTAGAGGCTAAATTCAATTTTAAATTGTCAACACTATGGAGTGAATTTTCTCTATCATTAAGGAAGACAATCTGGTTTGAATTTGAATTGATCAATTTTAAATTACCATTGCTCATCGATTGGAGGCTATACAGTAGTGAAAAGAATGCTGGATCTGGTTAACACTTGGATTTGAGTCTTTCCATTGCCACTCATTATGTATGACTGTGGGCGAGTCACCTAACTTTGCTGGGCCTTTGTTTCTTCATTTCTAAAATGGAAGTATTGAGATAGGTGTCAGTAATGGCCCTTTCAGCTCTAAATCTGTATAATACTATGAATTCCTGGGGATTTCTTCAATTATTTAGAATTTCTTTTTTTCATACTCCTTTAAATTACAGTAAATTTTGATTCCTTTTGATTTTTTTCTCTTTTTGATATCTCCACTATTATTTCTTGCTTTGGCTACCAACACTTCATTTATTCTTAACAATAATTATATATATTATTAGCAAATATTAAAGTGTTAATAAAATGACACATTTTAGTATTGGCTTAATAAGCAAGTAAACTAAAGTAAGGATAAAATATTTATAATTAGGTTTGACTTACAGACAAACAATTCATTATGATACAGTAAAAAAATTAAATTCAGAAGTGATGAAGCATCTAATTATATTTTACCTTTGTCTATGAACCTGGATTCATAATTACCCCTAGAAATGAAAGAGATAGAATGCCTGTCCTAAAGATTGATTCAGTTAGTTGTTTTGTATACAAAGGTTAGCTTCTGCTCTGGTATAGATTGTAGAATTTGGATATATTTTTAAGTATGTTTCCATGTAAGTTATGTTTCCAACAAGTTTTATTGACAGTAATAGATAAATGTAAAATATAATTGAAAGTTGGAATATCAGATAATTATGTATAATTTTATGAAATTAGCTAATTTTGTATATTGTAGATGTTTTATAAATGTATGAATGATTACAATGCCGGATTCAAGAAGACTTCATTTGTTTTTTGTTATTTTAAAAAATGGCTTTAATTCATTAAGAAATGAAGTGGAATTCTGCATTACTAATCTTTGCTTGTCATATCTATTGGTTTATCTTTTTTCAGATAGCCGATCAGATGTTCTTTCATAGTGATTATCGGCCTCTAATCCGTGATGCCAACAACTTCGTGTTAGATGAACAAACTCAGCAAGCACCTCATCTCATGCCTCCCCCATTTTTAGTTGATGTTGATGGTAACCCTCATCCATCAAGATATCAGAGATTAGTACCTGGTCGTGAAAACTGCAGGGATGAACAGCTTATTCCTCAGATGGGAGTAACATCCTCAGGTAGGTACATACTTGATTTGTAAGCTAGAATAGTTTTTATTAGGTATTATATTTTCATAGTCACCCAAAATAATTCAGAATAGTATTTTTAAAATTATTCTACCAAATGATAAATTCAAAGGACATATTTGAAAATATCCATTTTTAAGGTCTTTGGATTGTATTCAAGGACATATGATTTGATTAGGAGCAGTTTTGAGAGTTTTAATATAATAATCTTGATTTGTGTACAGTCATGATAGATAAAACTTTTATAATTTGGATAAATTCTTAAAAATGATTTTAATAACCACATTTCTAGAATTCAAAAATGTTTAAAAAATATTTTTCTTTTTTATCAGTTATCATTTATTCATATAGTCATATGTATAGAGATCTTTTCCCAGTTTCCCTTTTTTCTTCCATATAATTTCATCTGCTAACGTGTGTCAGAAACAAGACATAAATATGTCTTCCTAAAACTAAAGCTATCCTACTATTCTTCCATTCCGCATCACATACTGGCTATTTGAATTGAATTGTTCACTTAACTTCACAGTGCTTCCGTGCTACTCTGTGACTATATTTTATAGATGAATTGCTGAACTATGTTGGTAGAGAAAGTTGCCAATTGCACTGAATCACACATTCAGGATTCTACAACTTTGCACCCTTTTAATAAGACCTCTGGAACTGTTTTGAATTTCTCTAAAATAGGAGAGAGAGTAGGTGCCTGCAGGAAAGTCTGGCCTTCAGTTTCTCTCTTTCTGTCTGTCTCTCTGTCTCTGTCTCTCTCTCTCCCTCCCTCCCCCCCCACCCCCACTGGTTTTGCCAGACTAACATGATTTTCTCCTTTGATAGGAAAGCTTTTAATAAAGTATCTCTTACTATACTTCTAGAGAACATAAAAAGACATAGATGTAGACAGTAATACAATTCAAAACTGTCTGGATGACCAGAATAGTTGTTAATGGTTCAGTATTACTGTAACAGGAGGTCTCCTGGGTTATATCCCAGGAATTTCTGTTTTGTCCTATGCTGTTGAACATTTTTATCAATAACATGATATAAAATTGCAGATGGTGTGCTCATAAAATTTGTGGATGACACAAAGTTGAGAGGGATAGCTAACACTTCTTTAGAATCCCAAAAGATCTTGACAGGCTACATTATTGGGAGGAATCTAGTGAGATGAAATTCACTGTGGATTAATGTCAAGTCTAACACTTGGGTACAAAAATCAACTTTACAAGCATAACATGAGGAAGGCATGGTTAGAAAGCAATTCTGAAAAAGATTTGGGGATTCTAGGGGACTGTAAGCTCAATATAAATAAGCGGTATGATATGGCAGCCAACAAAACTAATGTGATCTTGAACTCCATTAAGAGTTTCACAGACCTCTTTTAGAATATTGTGTTCATTTGTGGGCTCCATGATTTAAAGAGGACATTGAAAGGTTGGGAAATGAGTTTAATAAGAACACTGACAACTTTGAGAAAGTCTGGAGGAGAACAACCAGAGTGATAAAGTGCTTTGAGTCTATGGCATGAAGATTGGCTGCTGTGTAGTCTTGAGAAGTGAATCGTTGGGGCAAGGTCTGATAGCTGTCTTGAGGTATTTCTCTGGTTCCAAATGACAGAACTGGGAGCAATGGTTGGAAATTCCTAAGAGGTAAATTTAGATTCGGTTTCAGGGAAAACTTCATAATAACTAGAGCTGCCAAAAGTGGCATGGTCTGCTTAGGAAAGGATCAGGATCCCCTTCTTAGAAGTCAAGAAGAGGTTAGATGACCACCAGTCAAATGTGTTAAAGAGTTTAGCAGGGATTCCTTTCTTGTATGGTTTGGACTGGATGACTGGCGAGGTCCTTTAGAACTCTTAAGATTGTTTAATTAGTAATTTGAACTTCAGTTAGGTTTTTAGTACTTTTTAATACTATATTTGGGCATTATTTAATGATTTTATTTACTAGACTAGTCTCATTTTGGAAAACATTTTCATATACATGTACATATATATATGTATGTATGTTGCATGAAACCTTCACAGTCAGCAGACTTTTACACATAAAAGGAAACTGTTGTGTTGGCACTCCTTTTAAGTTTTGTACATGTAGCAGTTATCCATGTGAAGTAGTTATTCTGGTGGATTTTGATTTGTTTTTTCATGCTGGGTTTAAGTAAGTGTATAATATACTTTGCAGTTCTGCTTCAACCTATAAGGAATTTTTTTCCTTTAGGAATAAGAAGCTTGCATGTTTGGGGACAGTGAGGACTCTTACTTAGTCTAAGTGCATTTAATCCACAAATATAACTTATAACTAGAGAGTGAATGAATGAGAGATAAGGTTGTATAGCCAAAGAGCAATTAGATTTTTAGGGTCTTTGAATCCTAGGATGAAGAATTTGAATTTCATTGATAAGCTATTGAAGATTTTTAAATTAATGATATAATTATGAAAGTAGTATTGTAAGAAAAGTAGTCTGAAGCGGCAAGGAGAATAATTTATAGACTAAAGATAGCATAGAAGAGGGAGGTAAATTAGTTATAAGGCTACCTGAAGTTGAAGGCCTCAGCCTGTATGGTGGCAGCAAAAATAAAGAGGGAAAAAAAGTAATAATTTTAAGATTAAAGAGGAAGGGGTGACTAGTTGTGAAGGAATGATAGAAAATATTGAGTGAGAGTTATCTTTTAACTTGGGCAAATAGAGAAGTTATGGTATTATTGATAGAAATGGGGTAAACTATTTCACAGTATTATACTTTAGACTCTGATCCAGCTAATAAAAAACTACTCATCATTGTCTAACCATATCCTGTTCTCTCTTGCCTTTATTTTTAACAACATATCATTTTCCCATTTCTAGAAGCGATTTCTCTCATGTTTAACTATTGAAACACTTCAAAGTTAAATTTAGGTGTCACCTCTTTCATGAGATCTGTATTTCATCTTTCCTTCCTCTAATTTCCCTTGTCACTTTTACTTCTTCTATGAATAACATTCAAATTCTAATTTGGGTTAGTATGGTTACGTATGTGTTGCTTATCTCTCTCAACATTTGTCTTATCTATTAGATAAAAGTACCTTGAGGGCAGAGTCTGTTTATTATTATCATCAAACTTTATGTCTATGGTGCCTTGAATATAGTAATTGATTAATATGTATTTTTTTAGTTGAATTTAGAAGAGTTTATTCTATGCATGAGGAAGATGATGTGATGACGAAGATAACCAGCAGCTTTTAAAATATTGAACTTTTAAAAAATATGGTGTCTTGAAATTTTTTTTCAATTAACAAGTATTTATTTTTTCTCCCTTTCCCTTCCCCCAGTTTATTTAACAAATTGTAAAGTAAAACTCTAATAAAAATATACCTAGCTAAGCAAAACATTCCCATATAGGCCATGTCCAAAAATGTATTTCTCAGTCTAAATCTGGAAACTATCATCTCTCTAGTTTTCAGTAGTGTACTGACAATGAGTTATCTTTGGTACTCTGACTTGTGGATTGATGTTGCAATGAGAATTCTCAAATCTTCCAGAGGGTTTTTTTCTTTTTTAGAAAGTTTTTTATTGATGTTATTATATAAATATTTTGGTTCCACTCATTCCCTTTTTTCAGGCTTGTCTGAAACACTCCTGGCTGTTATTTCTTAAAGTGCAATATATATTCCGTTACATTTGTGTATCATTATTTAAGTTATTTCCCAGTAGACGATCACCTGCTTAGTTTGCACTTCTTTGCTAATACACAAAGAGCTGCTGTAAATATTTTTGTATATATTGACGCTTTTTCTCTTCTTTGATCTCTTTAAGGTGTAGATCTAGTAGTGATATAGCTATAGTAGTGATACTCTAGATATAGTACTGATATGATATACAGGGTTTGGTGACTTGAGCGAGAATGGATTGGGGTAGGGCGGATGGAGGGTAGAGGCTTTTCATTTTGACTGTATTTACAAATTCAGAATTCTGTCAACAATCCATTAACCTGTTTTCCACTAGCCCCATTGTCATTTTATTTTTCTGTCATCTTTACTACCCTGTTGGGTGTCAGGTAGAAATTCAGAGTTGCTTTATTTTACATTTCTCTAATTATTACTGATTGGGAGGGGGATTTTTTCTTATATATTTGTTGATTGGTTATGTTTCTGTGAAAACTACTTGTTCATCTACTTTGATCATGTATCATTTGGGGAATGACTTATTATTCTTATAAATTTGAATTCATTCCTTATCTCTGTGATACAAGATCCTTATCAGAGAAACTTAGTGCAAAGATATTGGTTCCTAGTTACCTATTTCTGTTCTCATTTTAAGATTTGCGCAGCACTTTACAAATATTAATTCATTTTATCCTCACAACAACCCTGGGCAATAGGTACAACTCCCATTTTTCAAATGAAGAAATTGAGGGACCAAGAGATTAAATGACTTGCCCAGATAGGCTCATGTATGTAAGAACCTCATAAATACAGAAAAGTAGAAATATGTATACCTTTATTGAAATATTCAATGGTCACAGAGAAAAAATTCTGAAAATCAGAGACTAAACAATTTAATCCTAATGAATTGGTATGTCAAAGAGCAAGTTAGAGAAATGATATATAGTTTCATTAAAGATAACAATCATGAGACTATATAAAAATTAGACTGCATTTAAAGCAATACATAGAAGAAAATTAATATCTCTGAACACTTTTATTAACAAATATGAAAAAAAACTCTCCCCATTTATGAATTGGGAATGCAAGGCAACCTCAAAAAACCTAAAAAACTAACACATTAATCCCAATTAAACTCCAAAATAGGAATCCTGAATATCAAAGCAATTAATAAAGTGAAAGTCAACCAATTAAAGATTGAAGTATTTGAAATAAAGCTAGAAATTGTTTTGTATTTAAAATTAATAAACATTTAGCTACTTTGTTTTTAAAAACAAGAAAGAGGAAAATCAAATTACAAATATAAAAACTAAAAAAACCAATTCACGGCAAAAAATTGAAATAAATTATTATTAAG